TTTATAGAGATCTGTGGGGGGGGGCAGGAAGGGGGGGATTGGGGGTGTGTGGGTGGGGTTGGGTTACTGAGTGGCTGGCTTCAGACCACGGCCACACAGCCCGGAAGACCCACACCAGCTAACCCTTTCCTGCCTTCTCCTGCCTTCTGGGACCTTCTGGGTTGGAGTTGTGAACAGGTTTGTTTGTATCGGCGAAAGTTCGTAACTCTAAAGTTTGTAAGTAGAGGACTGTCTGTACTGCCAAAACTCAATTGCGAAAGTGTGACTTTGGATAGCAGAGTTTTTTTCTCTCTCTTGTTGGACCATTTAAATGGGGAAATTGGAGGTTTGGTATATCTGTTTTCTGTTCTCCTTTTGTTTAAAAAAAAGCACCAACCCTAAAAGCAGGGAGAGAAGGATGGGAATTTCAGTCTTGGCTATTTGAGTAAGCTCAGTAAAGAATAATGGGGGGGGGTAGGGAAGAGAGTGCAAGCACGAGCCAGAAAAAGTGATGGCAGAGAGGAAGTTGCAGTGTTTGTTCTTTTGCGTTCTGAGGATGGCAGCAAGCAGTGCTAGAAAACAGATCATTAAGTTTTATTAGATCCTAAAATGCAATTCGAAGTGTGGACATTGCAAAAATGCAGTATTAAGAAATTACGAGCTCAGGCCCAGCTGGAATCCCTCATGTTCTGAGCAAAACAAAATGCTGAGAAAAGAGAAAAATACTACACTAAACTGTTCTTAAATAGATGAATTGTATCCCTAACTCTGTGGCTATTGTTGTGTTTTCAGACTTTAAGAACGCTATTTTTAGTGCAGGTTTCTATAGCTGGCGTAAAAGGAATATTGGTGCCACAGTATAGCAGAAGCAAACCTTTCTGCATCCCTTTCTCTCTCTCTTTCCCCCTAGAAAATATTGCTGAGGAGAACAGCCTTTTTGGGTGAAAACCTTTGCAAAATCAATTTCCCCTCCATTTCGCTTCTCAGTTCCACTTCTGACTTTTGCTGGGTGCTGTGAACTGCCACTTTATCCAGCAGAGGGTGCACAAAGCTAACGGAGGAATTGTCTTTCTTGAGTGATACCAGTATAGATCCCTGGATTTAGATATTTGTTTTTCATTGATACGCTATAACCCTCTCCTTAACGTGCCTTTTACCATTATAATTTTTTTTACCATCTATCTGGTCCAGGGTTTTTTTTTACAGGGAATGGTTAAAAAAAGTCAAGATGTGACAGTGCAGTTGAAGCTCCCCCTGTTGGCTGTGTGTTGTGTGTGCCGGTGGAGCTTCAGTTGCGCTGTCGCAGCCACTCCCTTGACTTTTTTGACTATAGACGCCCCTGAGTAGTCCTTTCCGTGTCTTAAAGTGAGCTATTTTTTTTCTTCCTTTCCTTTTTGCAGGGCAAATAATTCAGAAAGATCAGGAAATCAAGGACCTAAAACAGAAGATAGCAGAAGTTATGGCAGTCATGCCCAGCATAACGTACACTGCAGCCACCAGCACGCTGAGTCCTGTTTCCCCACATTATTCTTCCAAATTTGTGGAGACCAGCCCTTCTGGACTTGATCCCAATGCCTCAGTTTATCAACCCCTGAAGAAGTAAGGGCCAACTTTCCACCTGTCGCACCGAAGGCATCACACAGAAAAATCTCTTGCAGTCAAGATGAAATTTGTATGGTGTGAAACTGTACTGATTTATTGTTTAAAAATAAAAATAAAAAAAGGGAAGTGGGGGGCCCAACACCAAGGTTTGACTCAAACTGCCCATCAGTTTTTTCTTGTAAATTTTTAGAAAAATTCACAAAACTTTACAATTTTTTTCTTGGCCAACGCATTAAGGGAAAAAGAACCCACAATTCTTGGTTTTCAAATTCTGCTTCTCTTCGTTAGTTAAAATGAATACACTTACACACGCATAAATGTATTGCTGCAAAGTTTCCTCTTGAAACTATAAAAAATAGCAGCTCTGCTTGATTTTAAACCCTTTTTTTTTTCATTTAAATATAATGAAGCCAAAATGGCAAATTAAAAATTGCAGGGAATAATGATGGAAATTCTTTAGTGTTTTGGTTTTTCTTTTAATGGTGAAAGGGTTTGTAGTCAAACAAAGCTTGGATAGAGGATGGTGAGGTGGGGTTGGGTGGGAGGAAGCATGTGCAGAAAATCCATTTGCTTACCCCACTAAGGATCAAATATGTAATAAAAGGGCATCATTTTTTGAAGGAAGGCAATAAACACATGACAGTAACATATTCTTAGTAGTTGTGTGAAGATTCCCATCAGTGTGGTTAATCACTTGAAAGATGCTAACGGAAACACCTTGAGAAGCAAAGACATGTCAAGAGGAAACTTGATAATTTAAGAATTATCTCTCTTCCCCCCTCCCTTTTTGCTCTCATCTAGCCTAAAAAATAAAGCTCGTTTTACAGAGTCTACTGCAGGTCGTCAATATAATGCGGATGTAATCTGTGGTTACATCTCTTTTTTTTTTCTCCCCATTTTTGGGTACAAAATCCAACAGTGTTTCCCATGATGAGGATATGCTGTAGCTCACTAGTAACGGAGGGAGTATTCTAGTAAAAGCAGAACGGTGCAACGTACGGTATTCCAGAGACTGTCCGACTGGTTCATAAAGGGGGCAGTTTGGGTGTTTTGGTTTGCTTTATTTTTTTAAAGTCGAATTTCAATTACGCTTTCTATCATCCTGTGTTTGACAGTTTAATTTCAATGAGACTGGACTAAATCTCAGCTGTTGTGCCAAGGAGTTTTTTTTTAAGATTTTTTAAAAAAGAAACTCATAAAATTGCACAAAGATTTCAGTTTAAATGTATATTGTGCATTGGTAGGAAAGTGTGTTGCACTGGCGACTTTTGAAGTGTTTAAGGTTTGAGTGTGGGCGGGCGGGGCAGTGGGGCAGGGATTCAAAATTGTATTAGTAACTAGCAAAATTATTAAAAAAAGAAATCAATCCATTATGATTTTGCAAACATGCAGTGGACTCTGGAAGGACAAAGTTCTTCTTTAAAACAACACTTTTTAAATTGGCAGGTTTGCCTTGTTTAAAAAAAATTAAGTAGGACAAGCAAGTCAA